TTCCTCCCACCAACCTGGGGCTAAATAGCAGGGTAGACTGGACTCTTCAGCCTTGAGTGGCAACCTGTCTAAAAGAAGGAAAAGTCTGAATTCCAAACTTCACTAATTAGGTTAGAATAAAATTTGTATTTTATATAAATACTACCTTATGAAAATTGAGATGTAGTAGAATGGAGGAAGGTCTGTATCATAGATTCAGTGGGAGCCCATGAGACCATTGCACTGGCCCTGAGTGGAATCCCAGCAGTATAAAATAACAAGAGTTGTTAAAAGGCGGATAAACTCCTTAGGGTCAATGGTTATCCACATCAATTATGGGTTAAATAGCATCCCCAACCTGCAATTAGCCAAGCATGGTGAACATGGCTGCTACACCCCTGAAAAGATTGTCAATTAGGGAGGAGTTCCTCCAATTGGAGTGAGTAGACCTTGGATTTGGATACTACCAATATTCTATGAGATAATCAGATTAATATTCCAAAAGGGTTAAAAATATATATTAGTCTCAATATCTTGTGGAATTAATATCTCTTCTCATGCACAAAAGCACTTATTCAGTCATAGAAAAGTACTTTTGTGCATGGCAAGAAATCTTAATCTCACACACTATTTGGACTAATACACTTATACAATGGACTAATACACTTATACAATAGACTGATACACTTTGGACTAATACACTTATACTTGATTAAATAAGGAACAAATAGGAAAATCTTTATAAATTTTACATGTTGTTATTTTGTTTACATCAGTTTTGTTGACATCATGTAAAACAATATCAGTTTTAAAATTTTAAACATAACCCTACAGCATTCCACTTCTCAAATCTCTGAAGAAGCTAAAATAAATATTGAAACATGTTAAATTTATATTTTTTCGATTTGTTCCTTATTTAACCTGTTGTAACCATAAAAAATACATAAGTAAAAAAATCTATTAAACTGTCACTGTCATACCCATAAAAAATAAATAGATAAAAAATTAATTATAGTGTCAAAAATAATTATAATAAAATAATTATAACAATTATAATTATCATTAATTCAATCTTTCTAAACCAATGAGAATCTAGCCCACTTTTCTCCTCTACACAAACACACATGACATTCTCACTATTGGACAAGCAGTTCATAAAGACAGGTTGTCAAAACGTGTGTCAACAAAAATTCATCTCCTTTTCCTTTTTCATGCCATAATAGTAATATTTATTTCTTAGCACGCAAGAAAATTTTAGGTAAGAAAACGCCAAACACTTCTTTTATTTTTCCAACTAAATTATCTGGACATTCATTACACACATGTATAAAAAAATGTAAGAGAAAGACTGTATACACTACTTATCTGTCTATATTTCTGAGATGAGGTATTATGTATATTATTTACATTATTCGGACTATTGTCCTCAAGGACACATGGCATAGTGAATAAAGGCGTTGGTTAGATCCAATGACAGGACCCAAAGAGTGTGAGTTCAATACCCAGTTAAGGCAGTGGAGAAATTGGAGAGGGGAATTAACAGGTTATAACTGACAACTGGCATCCATTAAACATGGCACGTGAAACTAGAACAGTCTACCTCAATGAGCAAAATAAAGGGTTCAGTTCGACATTCCAACCACCTTAAGAAAGCTGGAGCATACAACGGGCAAAACTTTGTAATAAATATGGTGACAAAGATGAGGACAATAGTCCGAATAATGTAAATAGTGTACACTTTATCTTATCATTCTGTTGGACTCCAATTCATATTTCATATACATTTGACCCCAAACTCACAATTTTACTCGGTATTAATGCTTCTTGTTTTTCCAAAACATAACAATTAGATTATAAATAATACTTGTTTTGTTGTTTCCACATCTTGCTGGTTGGTGTATAATTATTTACTATGAGTGTAAAGAGGTGTTCAATTATTTACTATGAGTGTAAGTTGGTGTATAATTATTTACTATGAGTGTCAGGAGGTGTATAATTATTCACTATGAGTGTAAGGAGGTGTATAATTATTTACTATGAGTGTAAGTTGGTGTATAATTATTCACTATGAGTGTAAGAAAACACCTCAGATCAGTGGGAAAGAGACTGAATTCAAGATGCCAGTTCAAGATTAATTACATAACAGACCCTTCTTTGAATTTTGTTAAGAATCTTGGGATAGGTAGTAGGAGCACCAGACAAGATGTTTTAGTAATATCTGCACACAGACAAATGGTATATTTATAAATGTGCATGAGAGATTCTGATAAGAATTATCTAGTACGACAGATTGAACCAACTTTTCTAGCAGTAAGCCTAACAATTGATTCAGTATAATGACTCCAGTTCATGGCAGTGGAAAATATGAGCTCAAGTAGGCACAAATACCTGCATGTAGAAAAGGTTCTCTGTAGTGATAAATGAAAGCAGTTTTATTTTGGAGGCATTAAAATTAAAATGTCATTGCTTGCCCCAGTTAACCACTGGTTGGTGGTCCTTTTGGAGGGCAGTTGCCAGTTCTACTTCATCAGATCGATCGTATTTACTACTAAAACAGGAGTAAACACTTGTGTCATCTGCATAGATACCTAGTTGAGAACTGATGACATTGGGAAGGTCATTGATGAATATCAGAAATAGTTTATATTTGAAGGTAGAACCTGAGGGATCTCTGCATTAATATATGAACTAGAAGCATGTCCATTTAATATGACTTTCATTACAAGATTTGTTAGGAATGACTGGATTAAGCCAAATATTTGTCTAGAGACACTGTAGTCCTTGAGCTTGTGGAGAAGGCATATGAATTGGCATATCTTCTTTTCATTGTTTATGATGCCTATATTTTTTATCCTAGATTAAATGATCCATTTGATTTTGAAAATTCCAGAGAATTTTCTTTTTTTTTTGTTCTTGACAAGAGCTTCTAGTTTTGATACCACTGACTTATATGGGACAAAGTCCCAGTCATTTTCCCTATTCTCAGGAGATCATCACCCAGCTATATCTATTTTGTACACCTGAAATAATTTGCTGTTTTGACTTTATAGCAAATAGGGTTCTACAATTGCATTCAACGAGATTGCTGTTGGCCACCCGTTTGTAGTGGGAAAAATTACAACTTGTTGAAGATGAGGTCAAGCACTTTCAAAGCAAATGAATTCAACATTTTCAAAAGAAACACATTTCTACATATGGAGGATTTTTATGTAAAGAACAATATAGCTCACAAAAGAAGAAAAAAAAGAAAATTACATTTACATGTATATATCTACATAAAAAAAGACAAGAAAACATTTATGTACTTAGGAGCAGTGTGTGTGCGTGCGTGTGTGTCTGTGTGCATGTGTGTGTGTGTGAGATGTCCATACAGTTTTAAATTAACTAGTTCACCTTCAGAGGGGAAAACTGAACTGTCTGCTGCCAAATGAATGAGCAAAAAAAGAAAAGGAAAGTTTATGTCCTTCATTTTATACTCTTAAAACAGATGCATCTAATGGGCATCTTGGCAGATAAGGTGGGGTATACTCCACAATTTAATATATAATCAAAATTTTCTGTAAAACTGGCAGGAGGTTGGTTGCAGTGGTAGAAATAGTTGCATGCTTTTCTTAAGTTTCTGTGTTTGAGCCCTAAGTAAAAGCCAAAATCAGTGTTGATTTTGAAGGCCAGCACAATCACTGTACTAAGAAGATTGTCAAAACAAAATCTCCCTAGCCCAATTTCCTTCATGTCAGATTTGAAAAAATATAAATAACAACAAATTTAACATAACCATAGAAACATCTTTATTTTTCATTTTTACTCAATAAAAATGAGGAAAAAAATGTCAGCACAGAATAGCTGAAAAGAATAAGAAGAAATTTGAGAGACGAAAATCTACAACAGAAAAAGTAAATATCTTGGTTGTCTCTATTGTGGACTACTCTGGACTGTTCTTGAACTGAACAAGAAAAGAAGTTAAAAAGCTGGATGATAAAACAAGAAAATTCATGATGCGGAATAAGGTGCTACACTTGAAAGAAAATGTCAAGAGGAAGACAAATTAGCATCAAGGATTGCATTGACAGCACAATTAAGGGGACTAGAAGAGTACATTAGATAGAGTAAAGAAGGAGTTAGTGACATTCGCCAAAAATTGCACTATGAAGTGGGTGCTGAAAAGTTTTCGGCTTTATCAAGAAACTGGTATTTTGTCATTTGGTCAGATTTTGGAAAGAAATGAAAAAATACTGCCCCATCATAAATGGTGTTTCAGTTGCTATTTCTTTTTATTTAAGTGGATAGCAGAAAAAGTAGAGAGTGTACTGTTGCAGCAGTAGTAATAGTAATTGTGGTTGTGATGCCATTTATTATCATGTTGCGAATGTTCTGTAGTAGTACTAGTAATAGTGGTAGCAGTAGATCATCATCCTCATCTTCATTTTTAAAGATAAAATTGAAGAAGTAATTGTGTTTGTCGTTTTTGAATGTGAAGCTATGGAGTTATTTTTGTTTATCAGTTTTTTTATACTTTATCCATACATTAAAATAAAAAGAATTATTTTTTTTTATATTATCGAAACATGAAAATATCTGTAAACAATATGAGTCAAAGTAAAAATAATAGGAACCACTTACTTATCTCCCTTGTTTTGTTCTCTATTTCTCTGTTGTTTTTTATTTATTTTATTGTTTCTTCTTTTCTTTTACTCCCCCACCCCCAAAGCATTTCAAAGGTCAGATCCGTTTCTCATTTTTCTCTTCTTCCCGCCTTCTTCTTTCATTTATTTTTTATTTATTTTTTTATTAGAGAGGGGAGAAAGAATCAGAACAAGAAGACTGATCGTGCCTTTTTTTTTTTTTTTTTTTTCCCTCAATCTTTTCTCTTTCGGACGTCTTGTTTAAAAAGCGTTTCATTTTGCTGACCCTCGTAATTCACAAAATTACGACTGACGACTTGTGATGTGGTGCGGCCGTCACAGCCGCATCATAGTCTTCATCATTAAGAAGAGGAAGAAAAAGAAGTTAAACAACCCACGATGATGTCCGTTGTAGTTAATCTACAACATTTCAAGTGGATTGTGCCAGGTTTTGTCATTGTTGGTACAGCACCATGTTACCTTGCTGTTTGGGGAGCCTGGAAATTATTCAGCGCTGCCCTGCCCCACAGAATTTACCAACAAGGAGATGATACTCTTTGGGCCATTTATCAAAGACTTGTCCTTTTTTTCTTTGAGACTTACTCAGGCACAGAGGTAAACATTTAATTATTAAATTAGACTTACTTTCTTTATTGATTCATAAAAAAAGAAAAAAATGAAAACGTTTTGTTGTCATTTTAGTTTTTCTTTTTAAATTTGATTTTTTTTTTTTTTTTTTTTTTAATTTTTAAAGTTTGGCAAACAAATTTTTGAATATACCTTTTTACCACATTCCAAATTAAAAACAAAATATGTATCGTTTCACATTGTTTGTGATTTAGATTTTTTAATTTTATTTGCAATATGAATCCGGGCAAACAAAAAATCAGTATTTTTCCCTCCACTTTTTTTTTAAAAAGAAAAAAACTGCTTTCAGATGAGAAAAAAAAAATTAAAGGTTTATTAAATTTCAAACATTATTTTTTTTTTTTTTAAATTTTATTAATCTCAATATTTTCTGGAATAATCGTTTAAAAAATATAAAACTGCAAAGTTAAAGTATAAATAAATTGAAGAAACAGAAGGTAAACAATTTTTAAACAAGTATTTTTATGCTTACCTTCAGTGCTAATTACGACAAATTATTGACTTTAACAACCATTTCGATTTCACAGGCCATGTGAGGAAAGAAATTAAAACCCCGACTGCATTGCGACTCGTTATTTTATTTTTATCCTACCTTGTCACTAATATTTATTCATTATTTATTCTTTCTGTCTTTTTCTTTTTTGATGAAAAAGTTGAAATATTGACTGTTTTTTTTTTTTGTTTTTAAATTATTCTTAATATAAAACAGGCGAATGATTATTTTTAAAAAGTTTTATTTATGAACATTTTTTTCTTTAAATTTTGAACATTGTTAAAACTAAAAGTAAGAAAACTCAAAAGAAGTAAAAAAAAAAAAAAATTGAAATTATTTTTCTTTCTTTTTTTTTTTTTTTAATTTTCAGTTTATTTTTTATTTTTCTCCGTTAAGAATTTTAATATTGAAAAAAAAAAAAAAAAAAGTAAATAATAAAATAAATAAATCAGTTAACTTGTTTTTATTTATTTATTTATTTGACTCCTTTTTCTCCCTGAAAAACTGAGGGTGACCTTTAAATTCTTCGTTTTTGTTTCCAATCTGGCAGGGTTTTTAGGGTCCTTTCCTTTAAAAACAAATTGTTCTCTTCTTTCATTCCCTTCTTTTCTCTTCATTGCATCATTTGCCAAAACAAGAAGCAATGATGTCATTTTTTTCAAAATCGACCCTTTTTTCCCCCGTTCATCATTTTTTTTTTTTTTTTTTTTTTTTTTTTTTTCAACATTTTCTTTGATCGAGAGACTCAATTTATTTTAAAAATTATTTCTGTTCTATCTTCATGGCCCCACCCACAAAACCATTTAAAAAATAATAAAATAAAGAAATATTATATAAATGGTTTTATTACTTTTAATTTTAACAAAAAGCTCAGATTTATTTTTTAATGTTTTTTTTTTTTTTTTTTTTTTGTTAGTTAAAACACTAACAGCAACATGTTTTTCATTGAAAAGATTTAAAAACACAAACTCTGATATTGCAAATACATAAACTTTTTTCTTTTTTTTTTTTTTTTTTTTAACGTTACAACAGCATAAAAAAAACCGTTTGAATTTAATGGTTGCAATTTTTAATTTTAAACTATATTTGAGAGTTTTAAATTTTTCTTTTATTTCGATAGACAACAAAAAAACTTTATTTTGTTTTCAGGGTCTGTAAAAAAAAAAAAAAAAAAAAAAAAAAATCTTTGTCTCGCTTCAAAAATGATAAAATTTAGAGTTTTAAACTTATTAAAATAAAATTAAGAATAAAAAATGAAAACTCAAAATAATCCAATATATTTTCCAAAAAAAACCCCCAAAAAACAAAATCCGCATGTATTATGCAACATAACAGCATTTTTATGAACAATGTAAAAAAAAAAAAAAAAAGAAACTCCCCCCCTTTTTTTGTCTGCTTTTGCAATGACACTTAAGATTTATTTTAAATAAAGAAAAAAATAACTGATGCTTCAAAATTTCAGAGATAATAATAATAATAGTAATAATAAATCGTTAATTTAATTATGTTTAAACAATTTTTAGATTTTGATATAAATTATAGCAAATTGTTTTTAATTTATGGAACTACCAGGGAAATTTGTTTTATAGCGCCCCCTCCCCCCAGTTTGTCATAACGAAAAGTCGTTTGCATAAGTCGGCCTAATGCGGTAAATATGGATTCGTTTCTTTGCGGAAAATATGACTTAAATAAATGAATTGGCGTTCCGGTTACAGCTCTTTTTTTTTTTTTTTTATCATCTCACTCTAAGCAAGGCGATAAAGACCCTACGACGCAAGGGGTTGTTGAGTGTAAAGGAATCTGAGAAGACGTTACTGAGGAGGGGAAAAAAGAAAAGAAAAAAGAACAATAAAAAAACTTGAAATTTTCAAAATCTTTGGCGATCTTGTGATATAGAAACACCCATAAGTTCATAAGATTATGTCATCTATATAATTTAGTTCTAAATTATGCCTACTGCAATAAAGTTCAGTTTATTGAAAATGTCTAGTGAATTCATTTAGACTCTAAATGAATTCACTAGACATTTTCACTAAACTGAACCTTATGGCTCTAAATTTTAGAGCCATTTGAGAGAGGGTTATATTTTGGGTTACTGAGAGGTTGAATGATCAATTTGGGGAATGGCTGCATATGTTGGACATGATGCAGTGATGTTAGCAACAGTAAGAACATTTCTACATGCAAATGCCATGTTCTGGATGACCACATAGATGCTCACCAAAATCAATTCATTATAAGAGCAGGAGAATGATTATACTTGCACTTGCAGTAGAACTACAGGTATCTGTGCTTCAAGCTCAGATTCCACTACTGCCATAAAACTCTTGCTACCATTTGCCCACTGACCCTGTTCAGGCATCTGTTGATCCAGGTAACCTTCAGGGAAGTTCAAACTGAACCCTCGTATTTAATTTCAAGGGGTACATTGTTCTTGTTCCTCGTCTTGTTCTTATTTAACTGCTCAGTTATTGCTTGAGCCTTGTATAGTGTGAATATTAGTAAAATAAAATTATAGACTTAGTGAAAAAACACTAAGTCTATAATTTTATTTTACTAATATTCACACTATACAAGGCTCAAGTGTCACTCAAAGTAGAGGGTTACTGAAGGAGGTTGTTGTAAGAAATAAGAAGTACTGTTTATGAGGATATGCGCTTAACCCTAGACTTGAAGAGGTTAAGATTGTAGCGGTTGAGAAAGCATTCTCTTTGGATGTGGTTCTATAAAATAGTGTTTCATGGGAAGAAGCTGTCCAAGTAAAACTTTTGAAATGTTGTGATTACAACAAATGAGAGATGAGTATATTTGTCCAAATGTAAATAAAAATTCCTTGTCTCAGAATTTCAGGCAAAAAAGAAATTTATTTTTATTACATCCTGTTTATTGACTCTTCTGTTCCAGTTACAATAGGAAAAAAAAAGCTTATTTTTTATTATTTTCTTTCTCAATGTTTTGAAATCTTTATTGTTTCAAGAGGGCCCCATGAGAGGTGGAATGGTGCTCTGAAGTATTCTATGAGAGCAAGTTCTGCTTTCAAGTAAATGGTAACATTTTGCATGTGTAGTGAGACTTTGTGGAACAATATCTTCCAGAGTGCATTTGTTCCTGGCACACAAGCCCAATCCCCAGTGTATGGGTGCCAATAGTTACAACACTTGCTTGCTTTTGGCATTTGTGTAGGAAATTTTGATCAGTTGCTATTTCCCAAACATGAAGGCAATGTACTGTTCCAAGTGGATAATACTTGCTCACATGATGTTCAATTTACCTGGTTGGCATAATTGTCAAAGCTGTCTTTCTCTGTTGGACATGATGGGGTGATTCCTGACTCCTTCACTTAGCTCACCTACATCTCTTTCTATATTATGTAAACAGGTGCCAAGCAGCATGAAATTATCCCAGAATATTAATGCCAAGGCAAGACACACATTATGTTCATGAGATCTGAGTATTGTGAATACACTCTGTTTTTCAACCTATGATGCATATGTGATCATTTACTTAATTTGTGTGTTTAATCTTAGGCAGATTCAAACCTGCATTATGAGTGCTGCAATTTTATTTTTGCTCGGTGTATTTGTTTCTCTTGTATGATGAATTAATTTTTAAAAAGCAACTTTCTAGCATCCCCCCCCTTAATTTTTCATTTCTGGCGTCATATTATAAGATATGTTTAATTAATCACATATTTTGGAACTCTCTTTGGGCTTGTTACTTCCCTACCACTCATGATCTTAAGTGCAATGTCAACCACCATCTTCTGTCTTCCTGAACCCTCTTCTTTTATTGTCCTTTCTTCTCACTGGAGTCTTTCTTATTTTCACTCACCCTCAGCAAACCCTTGCATTTTAGTGAAACTATTGCCTTAAAATGAATGAAAAAAATAAAAATAGAAAAAGTAATTGAATAATTTAAAATATGTTAAGATAGAATCCCCCCCCCCTTTTTTTTTTTTTTTAGCAAATAATAGATATTTTATTTATTGCAAATAATTTTTCATATTTACATTTGGACTAAAGTCCACCTCTTTGTTTCTATTATTACATTTTGGTTGTTGTATCCTCTTGCTTTTTACTGAGGTCTGTTTAGCCAGGTAACCTTCAGGGAATTTTGAACTGAACCCTACTGGGGTAGATTTTTCTCGTACTGCTGTCCATGTCTAGGGGAGATAACTCGTCTACTTCTTAATTAGTACTTGTCTGTTGTTGCTTGACAGGTTTTCACTAAGTTTGTACCTTTTTTTTTCTCTTTAACATTGAGGGTCATCCTATACAAAGTCCAGGGGCCACTCTAGCTAGAGAGTTACATTAAGAGGCAGTTTATATGGATAGGAAGGGTAGATAATGGTTAACCCTATACTTGAATAAGTTAAGGTTGTAGTGATTGGGGGGAAACATCCCCTTAGGATTGGGGTTCCACAGAGCAGGGGTTCGTGGGAAGAAGCTTTTTGAGTGCAACTAAATTCTCACCA